CTCTGCCTGCCCTCCGCCAGGTCGCGCCCCGCGGGGTCCCAATCGAGCGGGCGCCCCCGCCTCGGGATGTGTTGGTCCAGTCCCGCCCTCACTTGCTGTTGGCTTTATCTGAGTCAGCAGAGGGCGCTCGTGATGCTGAGCAGAGGGGGAGGGTTTAGGGGCGGAGGGCCGAGCATGAGGTAATGGTGGGCGGAGCGAAAGGAAGGAGCGCAGAGACGTCGCGTTCATGGGGCAGCTCCTGCTGCGGCTCCTCTTCCCACAATCCTTGCAAAGGCAGGGAAGTTGTAGCGGCGGCGGGCGAGGTTACAAGAGGCAGGAGCCTGGCGCTGGGGGCTGCGTGCAATGGGTTATTGTTTGTGGGCTGAGGGCAAGGGGCAATGCGCTGGGTGGAGATTTGCATTTCCCCTGCTGTGCCGAGAAAGCCCCACTCACGCAGGGTCGGTGTATAGAAAGAAGGCGGCATAAAAGCAACAGGGAGGTGGAGCCGGCCGGAGCGATTGCTGCATCTGCTACCCAGGGAAGCGGGTGGGGTGGGGGGAGACCGAACCCAAGAAATCGGAGCATGAAATTCCTGGCAGGGTTTGTCCAAAAGACCCCCTCGCGCAAAGGCAGGGAAGGGAGAAGCAGAGTAAGGAGAAGATGCAACTGGTGTAACTGAGTCACCTTCTGTCGTACCAATAGGCACATTTCCCTTCCGAGACACTTTACGGAGCAGATGATGGAACCTGCTTTTCCAGCTTGCTGACTGGAAGGGTTTTCTTGGTAATTTTTTTTAAATGCAACGCATTTCCCAGGCGATGAAGCCAGACTACTGATTTTGCTTGGAAAGAGGAAAGCTCTGCAAAGATTTTAAGCTTTCTTTCCATGAAACAGTGCCCAAAAGACTTGAGTATCTCTTTCTTTTAACTCCACAAGCTCCAAAATACTAGCCGCACAAAAGCGGGTGAGAGAAAGAAACAATTCAAAAGAAGAAAATTTGGAATTGGTCCAAGGAGCGAGCGAGCAGCCAGCCAGCCAGCCAGCCCGTAGGCGTGACGTTGCAGAGTTTAAAGGGGGCAGATGAGATCTATCGGACGTTGATCGGACGAAGAGGCTGCTGGAGGTGCCTGGGATTCGGAGCCTCTCCGGGAAGAGACCGCTAAAGAGCGAAGGCGAAGAAATCATGCTGCTGGCTTCCGCCGTGGTGGTTTGGGAATGGCTGAACGAGCACGGTCGATGGAGACCCTACAGTCCGGCCGTGAGCCACCACATCGAGGCGGTGATCCGATCCGGGCCGAGAGTTGGGGGCAGCGTCGTTCTGGGCCAGGTGGACAATAGGCTGTCGCCGTATATCATCGACCTCCAGTCCATGCACCAGTTCCGCCAAGACACGGGTGAGTTTGATCCCGCATCTTTCCGGCGCCACCCCCGACCCCCTTGCTGCGATGTTGTCCTTTCCGATCCGGAGCCATCTCCCTTGTCGTGTCCCTTCTGATCGGCGACCAAAGGAGGGGCGTATTTTCATTTGGAAATTTGTGTGTGTGTGTGTGTGCTTTAAACGAGACGTATAAGAAATCCGCTGGGATTAAGTTTTATTGCGATTGCACAGCCCCCATTATATTAAAGGTTGGCATTTGGGATTACTCTTGTTAGGCAGCGAGGGAAACCAGATGGGACAGGACAGAGGGAGATTTATGGGCATATTGGAATTTGCCAATTCTAGAAAAGGATTTGGAGGTGGAATAAGGTGCAGCCGATATACTGTACTACAAGCTTCCAAATTCTATTGCCATTGCCAAAAACAGAGAGGGAGCTTAATTAGATGGGCTTCGTTGGGAGGAAAAGACAAATAGTTTTCTGCCAATTTGCCTTTCCAGTTGGGCAAACCCTGTAGCCTGTATAAGTTAAGAAAACCTTGTTCTGCAGTGGAGATGCTGGTGTTCTCTAATACCTTGTAAAGGTGTGTGAGCAACCATATATTCATATACTTCACTTGCAAAGAGCAAAACACACAAATATGTGAAAGGTTAGTGTGGAAAGAAGAGTGGCTGGAACCAATGCATTTTTGGAACTTACTGCTGAATAAATCTGGATAGAATTGGGCTGAGTGTGTATGTGTCTTGTGCCTTGAGACAAAATACAGCTGTGTGTATACTACATATGCCAGGAGGGGAGCTTGAAAAAAACCCAACTTGATAAATAACATGAAGCCTTATGTAATGTGGTGTGATTTTGTAAAAATTGAAGCAGCCAGTCAAACTTGCAGTTTGAATAGTGACTCCTGGTCACATTTGGAGGAATGTTGCATAAATGTGAATGAAAAGGTTTGTGATTTCATTTTTTATTTATTAGCTGATCTGGAGTAAAATTTACATGCAAGTACTGCTGAAACTGTAATCATTTGGCTGAAAGGCAGAAGCAACAAATAGTTTACTAGAGAGACTAACAATAAAGACTATTAAAAGCTTCTTCTAGAAGAACAACAGATCCAGATGGTACTATCCTGAAGGCGTATCATTGAATCTTACTTCTCCCTTTGTAGAAACTTTGTAGAAACTAGGGGGGGAGGGGACTTGTTTCTGTGGGTTAGTTTGAGTTATAGGTAGGGTTTTCCCCCTAGAATTATTGTTGATTCATAACTAGATCCATGTCCCAATGTCGAGGATTCTGCATGGAAACCATCGAGTAGAAGAAAAACGGGCTGTCAGCTGGGAAAACCAAAACAAAATACCAGGCTAAAATACCAGTAACAACTATTTGTGTGATATTGCGAAAACCATGTCAGGAGCTGCAACTGAAGGTCTGGAGAGTGATGGAGGTGTGGGCGGTGCTTCCTCCCCCCCCCTTTCCTCCCCTGTCTTTTAGTATCTGGACTAAGCGGTTTGCCAAGACCTGAATGCCTCTTGGCAATGTGATCCTGAGATCCTGTCAGTGAAGCAGTTGCAGTCTCACGGGTAGAGGAACCAGGCGTAGGTGTGCAGCTGTCTTTGCTGACAAGGAGGAAACACCCTGGGAAAACCATCAGCCTCTTTAGCCTGGGAATCCCGTTTGCTCCTGTTAGTAAGCATGTGAAGAAGGGAAGTAGCTATTGGATCAGGAGAGGAGCTGGGAGGAGACGGCAGGTGAATCACACCATCCCTGTGCATTAGGAGAAGCCTTCTGCTACAGTATGTGGTGCAGCCGGCTGCATGTAGAATAGGCTGGCCCTGGGCGAGCGGATGGAAGAGAAAGAGCTGCATGAAAGCTTAGCGTGCAAGCAGGACGGTTTCAAGGGAGGAGGCAGAAACCTGATAGAGGCAGACAAAGCCGATGAAAGGGAAAATGGGAAAGGAATTTTTCGTGGAGCCTAAGATTTTGGGGAGTCAAAGTGCACCAAAGATACTTTTCGATGCACATTTAGGTGCAAAAGCTGGGAATATTAATTAGTGCTTTCTGAGATAGTAGTAAAAGGAATAAATAAAATATAAACAATAGTTTCTCAGTCTGAACACAGCATCCCTTAATCTGGCCTGTTAAGCTGAAGTGCACCATTTGACCAGTCCCTGTTGCAGTAAATGATTCTTTTACATGTCACCAGAGCAGATTTTCTTTCCATATAACAGCATGTGTGAGTGTGTGTGTGTATGGATTTATTCATATTCAGGCTGGCTGGGAACTGGAAGCCCTGGACTGCAGAAGACAGCTTTAAAGACTGTCAGATTGAATGCAACCTAAGCCCGTATTGACCAGGGCTTGCTTTATTCCATTATTTATTTGCATCTTACATTTTGGCAACAGTAAAGGGGAGACACTGATACTGGATCAAATGCTATTACAATCATCATAACCTCCATGAAACACAACAGTATGACTGTTAACTACAGCTGGTGGAAAAATAGATGGGAGAGGCATTTTTGTCTGTACTTGTGGGATGAGCAAGATTTGTGCTATGTCCACAGCTAGACACAAGTAAGCTATGAAATCAGGTTCTGTCCAGATAACTTTTTCCAACTGCTCTGAACATTTGTGATCAGTCCTGGCATCACTGATTAGTTGAATACAGAAAACTGACTGGCTGCATGATAGTCTCTCCCGCCCTTTACTTATTAGGACAAGATTCTAATTTTTTTTTCTGTCTTATACTACTTATTATACTGCCATGGAAGGGAGTTAGCTCTCCTCCATTCCATTCGCTCACATTCATTTCACTGTAAATTGTCTGTTGTGAGATGTATTCTGCCTAGTGGCCAGTCCTTTTGCCAAAGAAGCCAGATTTCCTTTTGTGAAGATGGTATATTTCTCCATATATTTTTTCTCTACCTCATATAATTAGACTAGGAGTGGGAACAATCTCTAGCAGTTGCCCAGATATGCTGACTGAGATTTTTGGCACTGGGATATAAGAACCAGGCTACAGATTGAATCTTCAACTGTTGTAAAGAGAGGTTGGGAGGCCTTTCCTCTATGGACCAATTCCAGTTCAGTTACAGCTGTATGTGACAGCTTCACACAGTCAAAGAAAGTAGGGTGTGAGATACCTGTGGAGATTCTCAGTCATCCAGGTCATAGTTGTCTCAAAGGTGCTTTTTCAAAAGGCAGCTGTTTTTTCTTGAGGAAGGTGTTTCACTTCTCACCTAAGAAGCTTCATTGGTTCTGGCAGGATGGTGGGCTGATGGAAGGATTGGTTCTGACAGTATGGAAGGGAATGGAAGGATCAGTCATCTGGTCATTAGCACTCTTTCTGACAGCCATTGAGCCTCTTGGGGGGTTGTTGGTACCATTGATGAGATTCAGCAGGTTCGCACCTATTCGGGAGAACCGGTTGTTAACTTTCTAAGCCATTTGGAGAACCGGTTGTCAGAAAAAATCTCATTTTATTTTTTTCCACTTTACAGGGCTAATCCTGTAAGGAAGGCAAGAAGGAAACATTCTGGTGTTGTTTCTAGCCTCATCTTTATTGCCCTGCTTACAGAAACTGCCTCTCAAATTAACCCTTATTGCATTGTAATAGCTAAGGTGAAGCGCCCATCAACATGAGTGATGTTGAGTTGGCCACACCCACCGAGTCACATGACTGCTGAGCCCCGCCTACCCAGCTGGTCATCAGGGCTGAGAATCGGTTGTTCAATTATTTGAATCCTACTACTGGTCTGTACCCACAGGATCACATGTGGATGAGTGCATACGGGGTATGTGTGTATGGAATCTTCTTGGAACTGCTGAAAGGACCGGGTTGTAGACAGGAAAAAGATGATGTCTTATCCCTCCCCCTCCGTTGAGAGAGGGCTTTTCAATGTTATAAATGGTTCCTTTTACCCCTCTTTCAGGTTTTTTCACTACACGTCCTGCTCATGTCCTGGTAGCTTGATAAACTGTTCCAAAATTGGTGCTTAGCATATATTCCTGTTAATCACATACCTCCCAGTCCAATATACTCCATGCCTGGAATGTTGCAATCAGAGGTGAATTAATATAAATTCTCAAAGTGATTCATTATCATCTCTATAAGTGCAGCTCTTGTGCACAGCCACATTGTGAGAGACTAACAACCTCCTCTCTGCCTTTCAGAAGTCTAAGCTCATGTCTTGGCAAATTTAGTTGGAGGCAGTGAAGTGGGGAATGCAAAACTAAATAGGTTCAAGGAGCAAGGAACAATTAGGGTGAGCCACAGAAGTCTTTTAAGCAACTAATGAAACAAATGGATCTCTAGATGAGTTAAAGTTAATGGTGCATTAAAGAAATACAGTAAAATAACACAGCCTTGAATAAATTCCTTGCATCCATCTGTAGTGCAGAAGAGGTAGGACCAATGCCTTTATCTAAGATTATAGAATATTACCAAAGGATTAAATCAAAGAACTAAAAGCAACCTGCAGATAGCATCCATGCTGGGTAGGCAAAGATGTTCTAGGCCAGCTACCTGCAATCCTGAAGCAGGAGCACTAAATATCCTACTTTTCTGTTCAGTTTGCATCCAAATGTGAAATATTGTTGGAGACCTATTTTACCTTTGACTGCTGTTGCATTTTGGGCTGAGGAGCTAATGCCTTGCAAAATTAAGTCCTGGTCCATTGGAGTCAAATATAAGCTGTTTTCCCTCTAACTAATAATTATCTACCACAACACCATGATTTGGTACAAAAGATGTAGAAAGAGATTCTGGTTTTAGAGTTGATTCATGGAATTGGGTGTAAGCATCTCTATAGAAGAAGACTTACAAAATCTTCTTGATTTTGGAAAAGAAACACTCACTGATCTTTCAGGTCTTTTGTAGTGTCAAAAAAGATATTGAATAGTAAAAGCTAGGGTGCTAACAGAATAAAAAGGTTTTGTCTTCCAAAAAATAGAACAAAAGAGACCGGCAAAAAGAACATGGAAATATTAATAAAATAATATTATTTTATTATAAAAGTAT